TCTTTTACCTAATACGATCCCACCCTCAAAGGAACTGTGCTCTGACAATAAGAAATCAAGTTCAGAGCAAGCTTTTCATGGTCTAGCAGACTTAAGTTTTTAAAAAAAACTCCATATACTTTGACAAAGTGATATGAGCTCATTAAAATTGCAAAGCTAGACACTTAAAAGCCAGGAAACGCAAAGAAAGTAGCCCGAGCAATTTTCATTTAACTGTATTATGATATGACCTTTAATTACTTGATTCAACAACATTTCTTCCTTCAAATGTTTTTTAGCATTTCATCTCTTAGATTACTTAAACAAATGGAAAATATTAATTCCTCCCGATGGGCACCGCATGGGTCAACAGCAGAGCCAGAACTACCAGATCAACACCACAGACCTCTGTGCTACCTGAGTTAATTACGAAGCCCCTCGTCAGAAAGCATTGCCCTTCAATACAGAACCCAGCACTGAAGGAAACTGGACCCAGAACTGCTCCACCAAGCAAGAATCCTTCTGGCCGTGCCCGCTGTCCATCCTGCCGTGCCTTCTGCCTCAAGTTTTGGCTTGGCTATAGTCATGTAGCCTGTGTAGGTCTTCTCACCCAGCCTCAGAGCTGAGTAATTCAGATTCCTGCCTTCCAGGCCAAGTGCCAAGCTATAACCCAGCCCCAACTTGCCTCTACTACCAGTTCTGCTCTTCTCCTTCTTCAAGACCACACGCCGCCTTCTTATGAAGCTCCTGTTGTGTCAGAAGTCTTCTCAGCACCTGATTGTGTTTTGTTAAACAGAAAATGCACATACACGTGTGCATGTGCACTCAATTGCCATGTTAAAGTGGATTTCACTTCTAGCAGTTATGTGTGTTACAAAACAGATCCTTTACAGATAGGCGTACAGACTCATACTTAAAAAAACATATGCTAAAGTTGAAAATAATTGAAACTTATTCAGTCTCAAACAGGGGTTGTATGTGCTCTGGACCATCCTAATTTCTCCAGAGCTTAACAGTTCAAGGGAGGTTGGAACCTGATGATTTTAAAAGAGTGTAATCTGCAATTACAGAACAGCAAACCCTACTGGTCCTACTCACAGGAGTGCCTAACATACAGACAGGATACATGACTTTAGAAGTTCATTTGCACTACCCTAGACAGATAGAGAATGAGAAACAAAAAAGCAGCCACTTAAAATTTTTAACTTCATACAAATGTAAGCCGTCACAAAACACCTTTGCATTTTGTTCATGCTACTGGGAAAAGCTGCCATTCTTACATTAATAATTCTTCCCAGCACTGCTCCGTCATTGCACATTAGAACCAGCAGCTGGAGAGTTTTGAGTGATAATGAAACCTGTAACAAGCCATCTTCAACCGTCTTTTCCAAACAATAAGGGAATTAAAATTTCAATTTAAATGCAGAGGTTTGAAACACGCTTCAGTGGCAAAATTACTTCAATTAATGTGAGTGGAATACAAAGAACAGACTGCAGAAATGCGATGCAGCAAGCAGAAATTATGCTATTAGTGTGCTTGCATCAACCCAGCACAACGGCTGCAAAGGTCTAATTTAGACTGTACATATCACAAGGCTACAGGCAACATTATTAATCAGTGCTCCGATTTCAATGTGAGGGATACAAGCTCATTGTCAGATCACTTTGGGCTTTTTATAAGCCAGGAGCATCTGTATACCTTGAGGAGAGAAACAAAAGGACCAAGATCTATAAACACTCTGCACACCCGACAGTTTATTATTTCACAAAATATTCCTATCATAAAAAAGGAGAAAGGAATTATCCTGCAGCCAGTGAGCGATTACAGCACCACAGTCTTGCAGAGGTGCTGTTAGCAGGAGATGGCAAAAACCAATGAGCCCACAGCAATTTCTGTACGTGAAAAGGCTCCAAAGGCAGGTAGATTACCATTGCTTTATTACAGGTGCACTTGTCTTCAAATGAAAATTGCAAGGGTAAATGAACAGTTGAAAGAGTGTGTTCAATCTTCACTTCAGTTTTCTATGCATTCCTTGATTTAAAAAAAAAATAAATCTAAACAGCAGCTTTTTGCATCATTATTATTTGATTTCCCAGAACAGATACTCCACTGTGGAGAAAAAAGTGTGGCATGCTGAAGAAGTTTGTACTTAGGGAGGCCTAATACTGGCTGTATCACATGGCCTTAGCCAAACTCACTTACACACAGAGTTATGTGTATGCATGTGTGTATATATCCACCTAAAAATTGCACGTGATGTATTGCAAACTGATAACATATCATAAAGGCACATTTCAAAACGTTTCTAAAATATTTAAGATTATGTAAGAGATTAAGTATATTCCTAAATCATGTTATTTCTCTTTTTACACTTCCTATCTTATATTCCAGATAGAAATTTAATTATTTTTCTGGAACTTACCTATGGAAAGAGTTTTTACTTAAAATCACAACAAGCAACCTGTCTTTTTATGCTGATTAAAGTCAACTCCATCAGTAAAAAGAAAAAAACAAACAAACAAGAACTGCTATCATTTCAACCAATACCAATGTTAACATTGAGTACTACTTTTCCCCCCTAAAATGAATCCCTTAACTCACATCTCCTTCTTCATCTCATAATTACAGCTATCAGACTAACACCTCACTCTAATCTCCTACCCCAGAAACCTGATGAAACTTTTGGCAGAACCTGACTGCACCCAGATATGCTGCCTCAGTCCTTCCATTGCTGATCCATTTTGAGGAATTTAATGCATTTTATGGTACGCTTTGTAAAGTATCACAAAATTCCACACGATATTACAGAACAGAAATGGATATATTGCCCATTCCAGGTGACTTACAGAACGTATGAAAGATATATGACAGTAGTTCATATCTGAAGGAAAGTGAGAACGAAGGAAGGTGAGAATTTGAAGAAAAGGAGAATAAAATTGAGCATGTCCCTGGAAGATGCTTTTGAAAAGGACAAAAGGGAAGACTGTGACCACAGTACAGAAAGATGATTGCACCAGATGCGTCATGAAAACAGGACGTGCGCAACAGAAAAGGACAGGAAGGTGAAGATCAGTGAAGTCAGTAAAAGTAAAGTGAAATCAGGCAAGAAAATATGACAGCAAAAACAAAAATCCTGATAGGCTTACACGTGTCAACAGAGAAAAGGATGAGAAGACTGACATCCAACTGTTGAACACACTTCAGAAGGAATAGAGTGAGTTTTAGAAAGTCTTAAAGTAAAAAGTGACAAAATGGAAAGAAGGAAATTAAAGTTCTAGTTCGGGCTCTAGGAATAAGAGACGACAACACTAAGATTTCCAGCTCCTCATCCTGAATAATGGCTTAGTGAAAAAAGAAAAGTGAAGAGGCACAGCTGAAACTGAAGCTGTGAGAAATACAAAAGACAGTAAAGTTGACTAAGAGAATAAAAAAGAAGGTGATGAAAAGACTTAATAAAGGTGTTCTCTTGAAAAAAAAAAATAAAAGGGAAAATGAACAGATATATCCCTTTTGCCCTCACTTCTGAATCACAGAATAATTGAGGCTGGCAAGGGCCTCCATTCACCTAATCCAAGCCCACTCCTCATGCAGGGTCAGCTACTGCAGGGTGCCCAGGACTGCATCTATTCTGGTCTCAAAAGTTTTTCACGGGTGGAGACTCCACCACCTCTCTGGGCAGCCTGTTCCACTGTTCAACCATCCTTGCAAGTTAAAAAAAAAAGAAGTGTTTTCATATGTTCAGACAGAATTTCCTGTATTTCAGCCCATGCCCATTGTCTCCTATCCCGCCTCTGGGCAACACCGAGGAAAGTCTGGCTCTGTTTCCTTTGCACCCTCCCATCAGATAATTATAAACATTGATAAGATCTTCCTCAGGTTTCTCTTTCTCTTCTCCAGGCTAAGCAGTCCCTGCACTGTCAGCCTCTACTCAGAGGAGAGATGCTCCTGCCTCTTAACCATCTTTATGGCCCTTTGAAGGAATTGCTCCAGCAAGTCTTTCTCTCCCATGTAGTGGGGAGCCAGAACTGGACACAGTACCCAACGTCAGGACTGAGCATCACTCCCCTTGTGAAATGTTTAGTTACTGGTAGGAGACAGCTCCAGGGAAGAAAGGGTCATAGCCTGGTTAAGAAACATGTTTGTTAAGCTTAGGAACAAGAGCAAGACAGACATTTATTACAGACGTTCAGGAAACTCCTACCTCCACCATAAGACTGGAATGGAAGGGTGTGTTTGTAAAAGAGATGGAAATGAAGGGAAAAAAACTTGATGGAAGGGAGAAAAACAAGTGGAAAAAAAAGCTGGATATGAGGAAAAGGGATCAAAAGTCCTGATAAAAGACCTAGAGGAAGACAGTAAGAGGGAACCACACCTCAGTGGTCAAAAACACTCTGAGTAATGACCAAAGTTGTGAGTGTGTTCTGGGAGATGCGCTCCCAGAAACAGGAGGGAAACAGGACAGCTCTTACATACCAAAAATGGTTTGGAAAAAAATAAGATATAAAGAAAGGAGATGATAAAGGCAGACATCTAGGAAATTCACTTTAAAAGAAAGGACAGCCAGTGGCAATCATGTTAGCATATAGATCAGTTCAGAAGGAGACTTAAGAACGTTTAGAAAGCTACAGTAAAGAGCTGAGAGAAAAAGCTTACAGAGAAATACCAGGTTCCAAAAGCAGTAGGACTCTTATGTGCAGATCAAGTGGGTAAAGAAACAGCTGGTTATAGAAAGCATCAGTATCAAGAGAAGTCAACAGGTACAGACAGCTCTGAAAGCACAAAAAGAGGAGATAATCGAACACGATCAGAGACTGTGACTTGAAGTCCAGTCAAGGAGGATGAAAACAAAACCAGAAATTTCAGTACAAGAAAGCAGCAAGTGGCAAAACAAGGAGCTCAGCAGGGAAAAATAACAAATAATAAAGAAAACACAGATGGCAGATCTGCCTGTAGACGATCTGACAGCTGACCAGTTATGTTTCTTGTGGGTACTTTCCCAGGATAAGGTACCAAATCTTACCAGCATGTCTGTTGCGTTGAGGTAGTGCTTGCTGGCCATGCACTGTTCCAGCTTCTGGGGCACTTGCTTGATGTTCTCAATCTCATCCAGCAAGTTCAGGACGTGTTTGTGTTCGATCCCTTCAATCCACAACTTGCGCAACTCATCCCTCTTGCAGTGCAGCAGCATCTTGCACGATAACAGATTCTCCTTCACCTACAAGCAACGTGTCAAAAGATTAATTAAATCTGCCCCTGTAACTTGTGCTTCTAACACTAATTAGCCCTTTCCCACATTTACTCTATTAGGAATTCCAACAATATCATAAGACAATAACAAAAAGCAAGTTCTTTAAAATTACTGCTTACTCCTTTAGCTCCAAGAAATGGGAACTGTTTTCAAAGTTAAATGTTTTTAGTACAAGTTTCATATCACTAATGAAAATTTAAAGGAAGTTTGATAACATGAACAAATACAGAATCCTATTAACCGCGACCAAAGACTGATTTGTGGGTTTTCCAAAAATCAATTCAGTATTTTGGCATACAGCAAGGCTCCGATTCGCAGTGAAAGCAAATAAGCCACTACTAATTTTTCTGCTGTAAACATTTTCCATCTGTCTAGTCAATCTTCTGGCATGTCTTCTCCTTTCTCCCAGTCACGCGTCCGTTTCTTGAAGCCTGATTATCCAAGAGTACAACTGCTTCTCGAATACCTTCAGCAATGTCAAGTTTGGTTTTACAAAATGCAGTTTCAATGGAACAAATAGCTGTTAGGATGTAGTTCAGCATTTCTACTACTTAACAATGAGAAGCACCTTGCTGTTTGCCATCCAGTTTGCTTTGAAGCCTCATGCCATCACCTGTCAGCTGCTGCTCTAAGTGGTAAAGTCTCTTCCTATTCCCCCATTGCCATGCCTAATAAGAAGTATCAGTTTTTCCTTCTCCATTCTCTCTGGTGATATCCCCTGCCTACATCCCCTGCTTTCAGGGTCTCCCAATATCCCCTGATAAGGTCAGTATCACCTAACTTTGATAGCATAATGCAAATCAATAATCACATATTAAAACGTGGAAGCAATTAACAACACAGCTTCGCACATTGCTTTCACACTCCTTGTTTTTGTGAGAAGTTCTGAATACTCAGGGTCCAACCTTTTCTCAGGCTGAACTCTCACTGAATTACACATGAAGAGAGGCTACGAGAAGTAGGCCTTGCAATTTATTTTTAAAAAAAATCAGCCTTCGGAGCTCTCCAGAAGCCCTACTTCAGTTGCACGTTCTCCTACCTTGTCCATCTCAAGGCAGTCAGCATTTAGATGGGCACATCCCAAACACACAGAGCAAAATACAAACATCTGGTAATTAAGCTACACAGGACAGCCTCCATCTGGAGTTAGAAGAGACTCAGATTTCAATACAATAGCATTATTCTTTTCAGGAAGACGTTTCAGTTTGTAACACAGAAAAACTCTCAGCCAACAAAAAAGCTCATCTAAGAGTGTCCTAACTCGCTGCACAAGCAAAGGGAAACTAAAATGCATAGAGAGCTCGTTTCAGGCATAATCCCTCCCTGTCCAATACTTTAATTTAAAATGTTTCACTGACCTAGCACACCAGCATCAGTGGACTAATGCAACACAGAGCAAAACTGGGTCAGTGAAACAATTGCAGGGCTAGAAGGAATCTCACAGGACATTGCTACTCCTGTCCCTGCAAGAAAGATGATGAATTCTCTCTACTTTTGGGAGAAGGGGAAGGAAAGAACGAAATCTTTCAGAACCAACCTTCTGGCAGACCCAATTGTTTCTGCTTTATAACTCAGTTTTACACTTTGAAAGCTAGATTCAAAACCAAGACAAAAAGCAAGCCTTTCCCAACAGGTACTCGTTCAAGAATTAACTACCGAAGGCAGATACACAGAGGGATCTGGACTATCTATCATCTCCACAGGTCCTAATGCGAGTAAACGCCTGTGCAATCACCCACCTCCCACAAAAGGGGAAGATCAAAAGACTGATACTATAACACAGATTGATGACAAACCAGATCTGGAGCCTCCCATGAGATTAGGTCAAAGCTACTTCAATACACGTTGACCAAAACTAATAAGAAAACTTAAATACCAAAAGGTTCTTCACCCTTACAGTCATTCTTCCACACTGGACCAAAAGGTCACCCCCTATATGTTTGTTTTGACCTCTGCAAAGCTTAGTGTACTGTGTGAAAACAGGCCACCAGCTATAGTTTATTTCAAATTTAGCGCAATTGATCTGTGCTTTCAAAGCGCTGCGCTTTGTACATAAATCCTAGGGTGAACTCTTACCCTTGGAAAACATCAGGATGGTGTCATTCTCTTTGAAAATGCTAAGTGAATTTTAAAAGCCAGAAGGGTCAGTACGTAGCCCCAGAAGGGTCACAGCCTCCTGCTCCTAAAGCAATGCGGTGAAAGGTTTTAAGCTGAGACCTCCCCAGAGTCAGGAAAATAAAAAGACAGAACAATTCTGGTACCCAGTTTGCAAAGTTTAGGTAAAGCAAACCACACAGGAAGTAAAAGGCAGGGCAGGAGACCAAAAAACTAATCTACTGCTACAGCAATCAGAGCTGCAGGGAGAGAGCAGATGGAACAAGTCCACAACAAAGAGTGCCAGAGTTATTTACTGGCACACTACTAAAGTGTGAGCACTCAAAATACAGAAATACACGGGGGCACAGAGTTCATGTACGTTCACACAACAGAACTGAGTTTGGAAATAGTGCCAAAATTCATATTCTCTGAGCAAGAAGCAAGGTGATGAATCACCCAGGCTATTTAGGAGGTTGTTGGAGGCCAACGTATAAAAAACACGAACAGATTCGATGGCAAGGTGTTAGCTTAGCAGCCTTTAGACTTCAAAAACCGATAGCAACTTGCCCAGACAGCAAATGAACAGAGGGCACTGCAAACTTTTCCTCTTCTTATCCACCTCCCGTTCTGCTCTTTAATTACTTGTGCTCTCAGAAAACAAGAAGAGATCCTATGGAAAACACACAACCAGTAAGAAATAGGCTGGGACCACTGTATTAGGACTGGGTGCATCACAGTTTGTAGCTAGCGGAGCTTTCCCAATTCAATTTTTAGTTCAGTTCAGGATGTAGCTGGAAAAAGGGAAGGAAATAAAAGGTAAAAATATAAGCTCACATTACACTAACAATAAAAGAACAGTATGCAGGAAAAAAGAGGAGTTGCACACGTTTGTACAGGTTATCAAGCAGATGAAAATGGAGCAACACATGAAGCATCACTCTTCACCTGCTTGATCTTGTTGCGGGAGTTGGTGATGCGCTCCGTGATGCTCTGGTACGTACGGATGGCAGTGGTGAGCTCGGTGTAGTGCTGGACAATGAGCTCGTCCAAGTCCCGGTCGCATTTCTCGTAGGCTTCTTCCAGGCGGCCCTTCTCAGTCTCTCGGTCCTCAACGTCATCGCTTGTAGATAGAGTCCTACGGGCACAAAGATGACAAAAATAGGGTTATTTTGGAATTATCTATCCCTCTTACACATCAGTGAGGGAAGATTATTTCTGGTGAATTCTTCTGGTAAAAGAGAACAATGCACTAAGGAAAAAAAGAAGCATTGTGTTTTGTTACTTCCCCCATTTTCAGATTTTTTGGAGCTTTTTTTCTTTACGCTGCACTACTGGCTGGGCACAGTGTAACATCTGAAATACATCCCGATTTATTACTTACAGAGCACTACAAAGAGGGAATTCTATTTTTGACTTGGAGACCATCGCAACTGAATGCTGCAGCTACTCCTTACTTGCCAAAGCCCACCAGGAATACAACCAGAACAGACAGAAACCCATCAAAAATCCACCCACACCTTCCAACAGCCACTCTGCTCTCAGACATGGCACCACTCCAGGGAAGGAGTGCCACGTGCCCTTATTTCCACCACACTCACCTCCTAATTTTAACCTGAGTAACATCATCCATTAAGAATATTTTTTATTTATTTTAAAGCCGTGAAGTTTGAGATTTCCATGAAGCTGTTGAAAATTTCAATTCCAATGGAAATTTTTCATCTTGAAAATGGAAAATGTTGAAATCAAACCGGGTATGCAGAGAGCAAGTTTCTTGGTATCACTCCAAATTTCTCAGATTTGCACAACGATCAGTGCAATTTTCTCTCCCTCGCTCTTTTCACCTCACTCACCCCCACTGGAGACCCATCCTGCCACCAGATCCAGCAGCTCACACCTGTAGTAACTCGGTGGCACTACTGAAAAGGGTCAGGAGACAACAACAGTCAGAAAAACACTTTCTTATTTCATACAGAGCACTCAAAAGGCTGGGTCGTGCAAAAAAGGCATCCTGAATTTTCCTTTTCCTTTATCCCTGGGACAGGTAGGCACGGTCCTTAAAACCTTTTGTCTTAAATCAGCAATACAGCAAGAGAAAACTGGATATTTCATGGTGAAAAAGAGAAAAGTCATTTAGGATCCGTTGCAGTAGTTACGACCCAAACTCTGGTATATCACAGCCTTAAGAACCAGTGTGATGCATTCTGTAGCTCTCTTGAAAACTTCTGAACCACTTTAAAGAACTTCTGAGGTCAAACTAAGAGAAACAAACAAAAAAAAAAAAACATACAAACCTTTTGGCTCACACACTTGAGCAATGTGAAACAAGCACAACTTTCCAAGAAGTCCTGAACATGGACTTGTTGAAAGTGAGATGCCCTTAAAAAACAAACCCAGCAGAGCATGAATGCCCAGAGAGCATTATTCCTTTTAAATTACAAAAGTTCAGCCCTCAGCCAAGCAGAGGCATCTTTTTAGGATGATGCACATGCTACATTTAAGAGCATTAAGAGTAAAACAGTAAAATAGCCATCGTTCCCAATCCCACAGCCAGTGACACATGCCAGGAGAAACAGAGAACTGCTTGATTTTTTTTTAGGACTTCTTAAGCAGTTTGAGTGGAGAAGGTCAAATTTGCTTTATGGGGTATCTACAAGTAGCTCCAGTGACATGTGGGACACACAAAGGGTTAATGTTTGAGAGATTTCTGTGAATTCGTGACTCTCAGATGTAGTAGGAGCTCAAGTGCAAGAGCTCTTCCCAAATGAATGCAAACAAGGAACTTCACACGAGCACACAAGGAATGTTCCCTCTCCCTCAAAGGCAGCAGAGACGCAGCCAAAACCTCCAGTTCGCGACCAATTCTTGCCTACAAAGAGAAACAACAGGCTGTGCCACCCACGCAAGGGCTCCATCTTTAAAAAGGGAGAAGAAAAAACATTTCACAGGAGATCATCAGCCCAGAAAGAGCAGCTAAAAAACTCAAGTGAGCAAGCAAATCTGCACCGCCAGATGGAGGACAGGACAGGACCACAAAGATGCTCGTCCTACCCCAGTACTGAGGAGGTCAGGGGAATTACAGCCACAATGTACAAAACCCCAAAAGACAACGCACCCAGGTGCTGTGTTTTGTTTTACCCAGTTCTCACATCTTTTCCCTTCCAGCTGGCAGCGGCAGAAAGGACAAACAGATACTACAGACACTGTTTGTAGGATTTCAGGTTCCATGCTCTGTGGTTGCTGTAGAAATGGGAATGCTTTCCAGTGTTACTGCATCAAGATTCTGATCCTGGTTGTGCATTAAATCACATTGCCTCAAAAGTCACTGCAATTAGTCCGTATCGTATGCAAAGTGATTTAGGATTGTGCAAAACAAACCTGGAAAGAAAGAATGATGGCGGGGTGGTTGGAAAATCAACCTGGGATTAAGAAACCTGGATTACAGCCTCTGCCCTATGACAAATACTGTGGTGCTCAGAACATCCCCACGCTGCAGAGCTGCACACAGCTCCACATCCAAATGGAAACAGCTGCCCTGCAGCCACCCGGCTGCCCAGGCAGATCCTTGGAGCCTGGTTTCTCCATCTTACCTGGGGAATGCACAGCACGGGCTCCTCAAACCTGTGAGCTGTGGTTATAGGCACTGAGCACTGGTGAGACGCTCCAAGGCTGCTGGCAGAGGTCAGGCAAACACTTCAGACAAAGGAAGGTAGAAAAATGTGGCAGAAAAAGCTCAGCACACACAGAATGCAGAATTAAACACATGGTTTAATTCTGCAGAGAAGTCTGGGATCATGCTATAAGAGATGAACAGAAAACAACTGAAAGAATGAATCTGGCAGTAAATCATACTGCATTACGAGCTTTTGCAGATGAGCCCTTTCTTTGTGAAAAAAATGCTGATTTTTGCTAAAAAGCTGTGCTTCAGCGTGGTCACCCCAGACACAAAGGTATCTCCTTAGGACCTGACGTATGGTTTGAGCTGGAAGCTGAAGGATATCGCCTGTCCCCGTGGTTAATGAAAACATCCATCCTCTCCCACCTGCACTATGGATCGCTGGAGAATCGTGGATCACTGCAGACACTGCGCGAGCTGAACCAACTTTGCCTGTATCATCAGCTGGTAAAGTTTCTGGTTTTAATTAAACTTCAAAATTGTTGACTCACCAGAGCTGCTCAGGCTTTAGTAATCCACCTGCAGTAGCTACAGGAGCTCAAAACCATTCCACGAGGTTACGGCTACATCGCTGTAATATCTGAGGGCATCACACGTCTTTTTTAAGGCTCCTTTTAATGTTTAATTCCTAACAACTTCCAGTCTTATTCATGCTTTTAAGCAGACTCAAACAGTGCCGCCCACTTGTCTTCATCCTTGCAACTGACTTGAAATTGTTCTTTGTAGGATGACTACTTTTTGCTAAAAACACCAGACATCTGCACAGCCAAAACCAAAACATTTTGGAAACCAGCAAGAAAACGTGAGGTCACAGCTGGACCCACACCTTAGAAACCACAGAACGTGTTGAAAAAAGGACAAGGCGAGTGTACCTTGGTGGTATATTTGCCTTTATTAGATGCAACAAGTTTACTCCTACCAATAAACATAAGGATAGCAACTAAAAGTATTAATTTTAGTTGATATTTTGCTATTTTTCTTCTTCAATATATAAAAAATCTGCCGTCACCTGGAGCAGAATCAAGAACCTTTAGGGGTTTAAAAAAAAAAAGCCCATCTGGCTGAGCCCTACTCACCTTCTCACACCCACTGACTAGGCTCCAAAGACCTCGTTATTTAAACCACATCACAGCCAGCAGTGGCATGAAAACATCAGTAATCCTTACTAAAACCAAGGGTAATGGGAAAATGGAGGTCTCAAAGCCCCAGTTTGTCCACGCAGACTTCTGGAATCTCAGCAGCACACACTGGGAATCCAGTTGCCAACGGCTTTTTTGCACTTACAGTTTTCTGAAAACATGAGCACAGCAGCAGCCAGGAATCCAAGGAGATGAGAACACAACAAAGGCCTCGCTCTGCTGCTGCATAAAACCTTACTGTGCCCACAGCCTGGGAGATCTGTGCAGCTCGGGTCTCTTCTCTCTTCAGTTGGTCTTGGAAGCACAACAAGGAAGGCAACACCGCTGCTACTCTCTGCTGAGCTCGAGGCTTGAGTTTGGAAAAGGAAAGGCTGACAGGAGGTGTGCGTCTGAGGCTTGCAGGGATCAGAAAGGAGGTGAATCGTGTAAAAGCAAAGCAAGTTTTTACTAAATCGTGTACCACTAGCACTAGTGGCACTTGGTGAAACTCACAGGAAATCTGCTTAAAAAGCCATAAAGGAGGTGTGCTTACACTGTAAGTAGTGAACTCCTGAATCCTGTTGCACAAATCTCACAGCACCAGCAGGTTGCAAAGAAGGGATCCAAGTGTTGCTCACAGACAGGGCAAAAAATATTGAAGGAAATCAGCTGGAATGCATCCTCCCACACCCCTAACCCTACACCCGTGGGCACCAGGGAAACAGGAGGGGCACTGGACACCACGGGGTCCAAATCTGCACAAAGACGAAGCAACAGTGCTCCACTCTTACCAAGTTCCAGGTTAAACCAAGCAGGACGGGGGAGAATGGAAGAGTTACAGATGATGGTGTAACCCTGCTGTGTGTGCACACCCCAGGGATGCACTCACCAGGGACACGACCCCATTAGCAGCCTGTCACACACTTCTCCAGCCTGAGATCCTGACCTGCGAGGGTGCTGCCTGATTGGAACTCGATGGAAAATTCAGGCTCCGTCAGCTGCCACCTTCCAGGATTTCCAGCTGGCTCCATCGGACCGCAGCACCTGGGAAATCTGCCCAGAATTAACACCTGCACTGGGAACCTCCTGTTTGCTTTGATTACCTGCTTGGGGAAAATATTGTGGAAACAAGCACCACCAAAATACCCTACTCATCACTTTGACCAGAAAATTTACCTGCATCCAGGGCTCTCCCCTCCTTTCTAGTTTATGAAAGGGACCACTTATTACGCCTAAAGGGATACATAACTCTACACTAAGCAAGTAAATTAAACCTCACAGTTCTTCTCTGCACCCACGTGAGCTTGCCTTAGATACCTGTAGATGATTTTTTCATAAATAGAA